CAAACTTCGAGTTCAACCTTCAAGTTGAACCTCCAAGTACAACCCCCAAGCTCAACCTTCAAGTTCAAGCTTCATGTTTAACTGCAAGTTCAAACTTCAAGTCCAACCTCCAAGTTCAACCTTCGAGTTCAAACTTCAAGTTGAAACTTCAAGTCGAAACTTCAAGTTTAACCTTCAAGTTCAACCTTCAAGTTGAACCTTCAAGTACAACCTTCAAGTTCGACCTCCGAGTTCAACTCCAAGTTCAAACTCCAAGTTCAACCTTCAAGTTCAACCTTCAAATTTAACCTTCAAGTCCAAACTTCAAGTTCAACCTTTGTGATCAACCTTCGAGATCAAACTTCTAGTTCTAACTCCAAGTTCAACCGTCAAGTTCAACCTCACGTTCGAACTTCAAGTTGAACCATCAAGTACAACCTTCAAGTTCAACCTCCAAGTTCATTTTCAAGTTCAAACTCCAAGTTCAACCTTCAAGTTCAACCTTCAAGTTCAACCTTCGAGTTGAACCTCCAAGTATAACTTCAGGTTCTAACTTCAAGTTCAACCTTCAAGTTCAACCTCCAAAATCAAACTTCAAGTCCAACCTTCGAGTTCAATTTTCAAGTTGAACCTTCAAGTACAACCTTCAAGTTCAACCTTCAAGTTCAACCTCCAAGTTCAACCTTCGAGTTCAACCTTCAAGTTCAACCTTCAAGTTTCACCTTCAAGTTTAAACTTCAAGTTGATCCTTCAAGTTGAACCTTCAAGTTGAACCTTCAAGTTCAACCTTCAAGTTCAACCTTCAAGTTCAACTTTTGAGTTCAACCTTCGAGTTCAACCTTCGAGTTCAAACTTCTAGTTCAAACTCCAAGTTGAACCGTCAAGTTCAACCTCACGTTCAAACTTCAAGTTGAACCTTCAAGTACAACCTCCAAGTTCAACCTTCCAGTATTACTTCAAGTTAAAACTTCAAGTTCAACATTCAAGTTCAACCTTCAAGTTGAACCTTCAAGTATAACTTCAGGTTCAAACTTCAAGTTCAACCTTCAAGTTCAACCTTCAAGTTCAAACTTCATGTTCAACCTTCAAGTTCAACCTTCAGATTCAAACTTCGAGTTGAACCTTCAGGATCAAACTTCAAGTTCAACCATCAAGTTCAAACTTCAAGTTGAACCTTCAAGTTCAACCTTCAAGTTCAACCTTCAAGTTCAACCTTCAAGTTCAACCTTCAGATTCAAACTTCGAGTTGAACCTTCAGGATCAAACTTCAAGTTCAACCATCAAGTTCAAACTTCAAGTTGAACCTTCAAGTTCAACCTTCAAGTTCAACCCTCAAGTTCAAACTTCAAGTTCAACCTCCAAGTTCAACCTTCAAGTTCAAACTCCAAATTCAACCTTCGAGTTCAACATTCAAGTTCAACGTCCAAGTTTAACTTCAAGTTCAACCTCCAAGTTCAAACTGCAGGTTCAACCTTCAAGTTCAACCTTCAAGTTCAACCTACAAGTTCAAACTTCAAGTTGAACCTTCAAGTTGGACCTTCAATCCCAACCTCCAAGTTGAAACTTCAAGTTGAACGTTCAAGTTGAACCTTCAAGTTCCAACTTCAAGCTCAACCTTCGAGTTCAACCTTCAAGTTGAACCTTCAAGTTCAACCTTCAAGTTCAAACTTCAAGTTCAACCCTCGAATTCAACCCTCAAGTTCAACCTTCTAGTTCAACCTTTAAGTTCAACCTACGAGTTCAAACTCCAAGTTCGAACTCCAAGTTGAAACTTCAAGTTCAACCTCACGTTCAAACTTCAAGTTGAACCTTCAAGTACAACCTTCGAATTCAACCTTCAAGTTAAACATCAAGTTCAAACTTCAAGTTCAACATTCATGTTCAACCTTTATGTTCAACTGCAAGTTCAAACTTTAGGAAATAAATTTCTTTAGATATCTTCATTGAACTTCGTAATGAAACTTCAAGTTCAACCTTCAAGTTCAAACTTCGAGTTCAACCTTCAAGTTGAACCTCCAAGTACAACCCCCAAGCTCAACCTTCAAGTTCAAGCTTCATGTTTAACTGCAAGTTCAAACTTCAAGTCCAACCTCCAAGTTCAACTTTCGAGTTCAAACTTCAAGTTGAAACTTCAAGTCGAAACTTCAAGTTTAACCTTCAAGTTCAACCTTCAAGTTCGAACTTCTAGTCGAATCTTCAAGTTCAACCCTCAAGTTGAACCTTCAAGTACAACCTTCAAGTTCGACCTCCGAGTTCAACTCCAAGTTCAAACTCCAAGTTCAACCTTCAAGTTCAACCTTCAAGTTTAACCTTCAAGTCCAAACTTCAAGTTCAACTTTTGTGATCAACCTTCGAGATCAAACTTCTAGTTCTAACTCCAAGTTCAACCGTCAAGTTCAACCTCACGTTCGAACTTCAAGTTGAACCATCAAGTACAACCTTCAAGTTCAACCTCCAAGTTCATTCTCAAGTTCAAACTCCAAGTTCAACCTTCAAGTTCAACCTTCAAGTTCAACCTTCGAGTTGAACCTCCAAGTATAACTTCAGGTTCTAACTTCAAGTTCAACCTTCAAGTTCAACCTCCGAAATCAAACTTCAAGTCCAACCTTCGAGTTCAATTTTCAAGTTGAACCTTCAAGTACAACCTTCAAGTTCAACCTTCAAGTTCAACCTCCAAGTTCAACCTTCGAGTTCAACCTTCAAGTTCAACCTTCAAGTTTCACCTTCAAGTTTAAACTTCGAGTTGATCCTTCAAGTTGAACCTTCAAGTTGAACCTTCAAGTTCAACCTTCAAGTTCAACCTTCAAGTTCAACTTTTGAGTTCAACCTTCGAGTTCAACCTTCGAGTTCAAACTTCTAGTTCAAACTCCAAGTTGAACCGTCAAGTTCAACCTCACGTTCAAACTTCAAGTTGAACCATCAAGTACAACCTTCAAATTCAACCTCCAAGTTTATTTTCAAGTTCAAACTTCAAGTTCAACCTCCAAGTTCAACCTTCGAGTCGAACCTTCAAGTATAACTTCAGGTTCAAACTTCAAGTTCAACCTCCAAGTTCAACCTCCAAGTACAAACTCCAAGTTCAACCTTCGAGTTCAATTTTCAAGTTGAACCTTCAAGTACAACCTTCAAGTTCAAACTTCAAGTTCAACCTTCAATTTCAACCTTCAAGTTCAACCTTCAAGTTCAACTTTTGAGTTCAACCTTTGAGTTCAACCTTCGAGTTCAAACTTCTAGTTCAAACCCCAAGTTGAACCGTCAAGTTCAACCTCACGTTCAAACTTCAAGTTGAACCATCAAGTACAACCTTCAAATTCAACCTCCAAGTCTATTTTCAAGTTCAAACTTCAAGTTCAACTTTCAAGTTCAACCTTCGAGTTGAACCTTCAAGTATAACTTCAGGTTCAAACTTCAAGTTCAACCTCCAAGTTCAACCTCCAAGTTCAACCTTCGAGTTGAACCTTCAAGTATAACTCCAGGTTCAAACTCCGAGTTCAACCTTCGAGTTCAATTTTCAAGTTGAACCTTCAAGTACAACCTTCAAGTTCAATCTTCAAGTTCAACCTCCAAGTTCAACCTTCGAACTCAACCTTCGAGTTTAACCTTCAAGTTAAACCTCCAGGTTGAACCTCCAAGTTCAACCTTCAAGATCAACTTCAAGTTCAATCTCCAAGTTCAACCTTCGGAATCATCCTTCAAGTCCAAACTTCGAGTTGAACCTTCAAGTTCAACCTTCAAGTTCAAACTTCAAGTTCAACCTTCAAGCTCAAACCCCAAGTTGAACCTTCAAGTTCACAATTCAAGTTGAACCTTCAAGTACAACCTCCAAGTACAACCTTCAAGTCTAACTTCAAGTTCAAACTTCAAGTTCAACCTTCGAGTTCAACCTTCATGTTGAACCTTCAAGTTCAACCTCCGAGTTCAACCTTCAAGTTCAAACTTCAAGTAGAACCTTCAAGTTGAACCTCCGAGTACGACCTTCAAGTTTTAACTCCAAGTTGAACCTTCAATTTCAACCTTCAAATTCAACCTTCGAGTTCAAACTTTGAGTTGAACCTTCAAGTTCAACCTTCAAGTTCAACCTTCAAGTTCAACCTTCAAGTCTCACTTCAAGTTCAAACTTCAAGTTCAACCTTCGAGTTCGATCTTCATGTTCAAACTTCAAGTTGAACCTTCAAGTTCAACCTTCGAGTTCAACCTTCAAGTTCAAACGTCAAGTTGAACCTCCAAGTACAACCTCCAAGCTCAACCTTCAAGTTCAACCTTCATGTTTAACTGCAAGTTCAACCTCCAAGTTCAACCTTCGAGTTCAAAGTTCAAGTTCCAACTTCAAGTTCGACCTTCGAATTGAAACTTCAAGTTCAACCTTCAAGTTCAACCCTCAAGTTCAAACTTCAAGTCGAAACTTCAAGTTCAACCTTCAAGTTGAATATTCAAGTAGAACCTTCAAGTTCAACCTCCAAGTTCAACTTCAAGTTCAAACTTCAAGTTCAACCTTCAAGTTCAACCTTCGATTTCAAACTTCAAGTTCAACCTTCAAGTTCAACCTTCAAGTTCAACCTTCAAGTTCAACCTTCGAGTTCAAACTTCTAGTTCAAACTCCAAGTTGAACCGTCGAGTTCAACCTCACGTTCAAACTTCAAGTTGAAGTTCAACCTCCAAGTTTATTTTCAAGTTCAACCTTCGAGTTTAACCTTCAAGTATAACTTCAGGTTCAAACTCCAAGTTCAACCTTCAAGTTCAACCTCCAAGTTCAAACTTCGAGTTCAACCTTCGAGTTCAATTTTCAAGTTCAACCTTCAAGTACAACCTTCAAGTTCAACCTTCAAGTTCAACCTTCAAGTTCAACCTTCAAGTTCAACCTTCAAGTTTTACCTTCAAGTTCAAACTTCAAGTTGATCCTTCAAGTTGAACCTTCAAGTTAAACTCTCAAGTTGAACCTTCAGTTTGAACCTTCAAGTTCAACCTTCAACCTCGACCTCAAAGATTTACTTCAAGTTCAAACTCCAAGTTCAACCTTTAAGATCATCCTTCAAGTTCAAACTTCGAGTTGAACCTTCAAGTTCAACCTTCAAGTTCAAACTTCAAGTTCAACCTTCAAGTTCAAACTTCAAGTTCAACCTTCAAGCTCAAACCCCAAGTTGAACCTTCAAGTTCACAATTCAAGTTGAACCTTCAAGTACAACCTCCAAGTACAACCTTCAAGTCTAACTTCAAGTTCAAACTTCAAGTTCAACCTTCGAGTTCAACCTTCATGTTGAACCTCCAAGTTCAACCTTCGAGTTCAACCTTCAAGTTCAAACTTCAAGAAGAACCTTCAAGTTGAACCTTCGAGTACGACCTTCAAGTTTTAACTCCAAGTTGAACCTTCAATTTCAACCTTCAAATTCAACCTTCGAGTTCAAACTTTAAGTTGAACCTTCAAGTTCAACCTTCAAGTTCAACCTTCAAGTTCAACCTTCAAGTCTCACTTCAAGTTCAAACTTCAAGTTCAACCTTCGAGTTCGATCTTCATGTTCAAACTTCAAGTTGAACCTTCAAGTTCAACCTTCGAGTTCAACCTTCAAGTTCAAACGTCAAGTTGAACCTCCAAGTACAACCTCCAAGCTCAACCTTCAAGTTCAACCTTCATGTTTAACTGCAAGTTCAACCTCCAAGTTCAACCTTCGAGTTCAAAGTTCAAGTTCCAACTTCAAGTTCGACCTTCGAATTGAAACTTCAAGTTCAACCTTCAAGTTCAACCCTCAAGTTCAAACTTCAAGTCGAAACTTCAAGTTCAACCTTCAAGTTGAATATTCAAGTAGAACCTTCAAGTTCAACCTCCAAGTTCAACTTCAAGTTCAAACTTCAAGTTCAACCTTCGAGTTCAACCTTCGATTTCAAACTTCAAGTTCAACCTTCAAGTTCAACCTTCAAGTTCAACCTTCAAGTTCAACCTTCGAGTTCAAACTTCTAGTTCAGACTCCAAGTTGAACCGTCGAGTTCAACCTCACGTTCAAACTTCAAGTTGAAGTTCAACCTCCAAGTTTATTTTCAAGTTCAACCTTCGAGTTTAACCTTCAAGTATAACTTCAGGTTCAAACTCCAAGTTCAACCTTCAAGTTCAACCTCCAAGTTCAAACTTCGAGTTCAACCTTCGAGTTCAATTTTCAAGTTCAACCTTCAAGTACAACCTTCAAGTTCAACCTTCAAGTTCAACCTTCAAGTTCAACCTTCAAGTTCAACCTTCAAGTTTTACCTTCAAGTTCAAACTTCAAGTTGATCCTTCAAGTTGAACCTTCAAGTTAAACTCTCAAGTTGAACCTTCAGTTTGAACCTTCAAGTTCAACCTTCAACCTCGACCTCAATGATTAACTTCAAGTTCAAACTCCAAGTTGAACCTTTAAGATCATCCTTCAAGTTCAAACTTCGAGTTGAACCTTCAAGTTGAACCTTCAAGTTAAACTCTCAAGTTGAACCTTCAGTTTGAACCTTCAAGTTCAACCTTCAACCTCGACCTCAAAGATTAACTTCAAGTTCAAACTCCATGTTCAACCTTTAAGATCATCCTTCAAGTTCAAACTTCGAGTTGAACCTTCAAGTTCAACCTTCAAGTTCAAACTTCAAGTTCAACCTTCAAGTTCAAACTTCAAGTTCAACCTTCAAGCTCAAACTCCAAGTTGAACCTTCAAGTTCACAATTCAAGTTGAACCTTCAAGTACAACCTTCAAGTACAACCTTCAAGTCTAACTTCAAGTTCAAACTTCAAGTTCAACCTTCGAGTTCAAACTTCATGTTGAACCTCCAAGTTAAACCTTCGAGTTCAACCTTCAAGTTCAAACTTCAAGTAGAACCTTCAAGTTGAACCTTCAAGCTCAAACTCCAAGTTCAACCTTCGAATACGACCTTCAAGTTTCAACTTCAAGTTGAACCTTCACGTTCAAACTTCAAGTTCAACCTACAAGTTCAAACTCCAAGTTGAACCTTCAAGTTGGATTTTCAATCTCAACCTCCAAGTTGAAACTTCAAGTTGAACGTTCAAGTTGAACCTTCAAGTTCCAACTTCAAGCTCAACCTTCGAGTTCAACCTTCAAGTTCAACCTCAAAGTTCAACCTTCGAACTCAACCTTCGAGTTTAACCTTCAAGTTAAACCTTCAGGTCGAACCTCCAAGTTCAACCTTCAAACTCAACCTTCAAGATCAACTTCAAGTTCAAACTCCAAGTTCAACCTTCGTAATCATCCTTCAAGTCCAAACTTCGAGTTGAATCTTCAAGTTCAACCTTCACGTTCAAACTTCAAGTTCAACCTTCAAGCTCAAACTTCAAGTTGAACCTTCAAGTTCACAATTCAAGTTGAACCTTCAAGTACAACCTTCAAGTACAACCTTCAAGTCTAACTTCAAGTTCAAACTTCAAGTTCAACCTTCGAGTTCAAACTTCATGTAGAACCTCCAAGTTAAACCTTCGAGTTCAACCTTCAAGTTCAAACTTCAAGTAGAACCTTCAAGTTGAACCTTCAAGCTCAAACTCCAAGTTCAACCTTCGAGTACGACCTTCAAGTTTCAACTTCAAGTTGAACCTTCACGTTCAAACTTCAAGTTCAACCTACAAGTTCAAACTCCAAGTTGAACCTTCAAGTTGGACCTTCAATCTCAACCTCCAAGTTGGAACTTCAAGTTGAACGTTCAAGTTGAACCTTCAAGTTCCAACTTCAAGCTCAACCTTCGAGTTCAACCTTCAAGTTGAACCTTCAAGTTCAACCTTCAAGTTCAAACTTCAAGTTCAACCCTCGAATTCAACCCTCAAGTTCAACCTTCTAGTTCAACCTTTAAGTTCAACCTACGAGTTTAAACTCCAAGTTCGAACCCCAAGTTGAACCTTCAAGTTCAACCTCACGTTCAAACTTCAAGTTAAACCTTCAAGTACAACCTTTGAATTCAACCTTCAAGTTAAACATCAAGTTGAAACTTCAAGTTCAACATTCAAGTTCAACCTTTATGTTTGACTGCAAGTTCAAACTTAAAGTTCAACCTCCAAGTTCAACCTTCAATCTCAAACTTTGAGTTCAAACTTCGAAATGAAACTTCAAGTTCAACCTTAAAGTTCAAACTTCGAGTTCAACCTTCAAGTTGAACCTCCAAGTACAACCCCCAAGCTCAATCTTCAAGTTCAACCTTCATGTTTAACTGCAAGTTCAAACTTCAAGTTCAACCTTCAAGTTTAAACTTCAAGTCGAATCTTCAAGTTCAACCCTCAAGTTGAACCTTCAAGTACAACCTTCAAGTTCGACCTCCAAGTTCAACTCCAAGTTCAAACTTCAAGTTCAACCTTCAAGTTCAACCTTCAAGTTTAACCTTCAAGTTCAACCGTCAAGTTCAACCTCACGTTCAAACTTCAAGTTGAACCATCAAGTACAACCTTCAAGTTCAACCTCCAAGTTCATTTTCAAGTTCAAACTTCAAGTTCAACATTCAAGTTCAACCTTCAAGTTCAACCTTCAAGTTCAACCTTCAAGTTGAACCTCCAAGTATAACTTCAGGTTCAAACTTCAAGTTCAACCTTCAAGTTCAACCTCCAAGTTCAAACTTCAAGTTCAACCTTCGAGTTCAATTCTCAAGTTGAACCTCCAAGTACAACCTTCAAGTTCAACCTTCGAGTTCAACCTCCAAGTTCAACCTTCGAGTTCAACCTTCAAGTTCAACCTTCGAGTTCAACCTTCAAGTCTTACCTTCAAGTTCAAACTTCAAGTTGATCCTTCAAGTTGAACCTTCAAGTTGAACCTTCAAGTTGAACCTTCAAGTTGAACCTTCAAGTTGAACCTTCAAATTGAACCTTCAAGTTAAACCTTCAGATTGAACCTCCAAGTTCAACCTTCAAACTCAACCTTCAAGATTAACTTCAAGTTCAAACTTCAAGTTCAACCTTCGAAATCATCCTTCAAGTTCAAACTTCGAGTTGAACCTTCAAGTTCAACCTTCAAGTTCAACCTTCAAGTTCAACCTTCAAGTTCAAACTTCAAGTTCAACCTTCAAGTTCAACCTTCAAGTTCAACCTTCAAGTTCAACTTTTGAGTTCAACCTTTGAATTCAACCTTCGAGTTCAAACTTCTAGTTCAAACCCCAAGTTGAAACGTCAAGTTCAACCTCACGTTCAAACTTCAAGTTGAACCATCAAGTACAACCTTCAAATTCAACCTCCAAGTCTATTTTCAAGTTCAAACTTCAAGTTCAACCTTCAAGTTCAACCTTCGAGTTGAACCTTCAAGTATAACTTCAGGTTCAAACTTCAAGTTCAACCTCCAAGTTCAACCTCCAAGTTCAAACTCCGAGTTCAACCTTCGAGTTCAATTTTCAAGTTGAACCTTCAAGTACAACCTTCAAGTTCAACCTTCAAGTTCAACCTCCAAGTTCAACCTTCGAACTCAACCTTCGAGTTTAACCTTCAAGTTAAACCTCCAGGTTGAACCTCCAAGTTCAACCTTCAAGATCAACTTCAAGTTCAATCTCCAAGTTCAACCTTCGGAATCATCCTTCAAGTCCAAACTTCGAGTTGAACCTTCAAGTTCAACCTTCAAGTTCAAACTTCAAGTTCAACCTTCAAGCTCAAACCTCAAGTTGAACCTTCAAGTTCACAATTCAAGTTGAACCTTCAAGTACAACCTCCAAGTACAACCTTCAAGTCTAACTTCAAGTTCGAACTTCAAGTTCAACCTTCGAGTTCAACCTTCATGTTGAACCTCCAAGTTCAACCTTCGAGTTCAACCTTCAAGTTCAAACTTCAAGTAGAACCTTCAAGTTGAACCTTCGAGTACGACCTTCAAGTTTTAACTCCAAGTTGAACCTTCAATTTCAACCTTCAAATTCAACCTTCGAGTTCAAACTTCAAGTTGAACCTTCAAGTTCAACCTTCAAGTTCAACCTTCAAGTTCAACCTTCAAGTCTCACTTCAAAATCAAACTTCAAGTTCAACCTTCGAGTTCGATCTTCATGTTCAAACTTCAAGTTGAACCTTCAAGTTCAACCTTCGAGTTCAACCTTCAAGTTCAAACGTCAAGTTGAACCTTCAAGTACAACCTCCAAGCTCAACCTTCAAGTTCAACCTTCATGTTTAACTGCAAGTTCAACCTCCAAGTTCAACCTTCGAGTTCAAAGTTCAAGTTCCAACTTCAAGTTCGACCTTCGAATTGAAACTTCAAGTTCAACCTTCAAGTTCAACCCTCAAGTTCAAACTTCAAGTCGAAACTTCAAGTTCAATCTTCAAGTTGAATATTCAAGTAGAACCTTCAAGTTCAACCTCCAAGTTCAACTTCAAGTTCAAACTTCCAGTTCAACCTTCAAGTTCAACCT